ATATTTGATTCATTGTTAAATGTCATATTTATTAATCGTATTGAATTCGAAACGAATCAATTTTCTTTTGTATTACTAGCACTACATATACACATACACACTTATCTTCTTCGCTTCCTTTTTTATGAATAAATGTAACGACAGACGTTTGTTGCTTTTTTTTCTCGTACTCATTCGTTCATGAAAAAATATGTTAACCAATGAGGAAAAAGGCATAAGAAAAAAAAAAAGGGAGAAAAAGAAGATGGAAAAGGAGGAGTAACTCTTTTCTTTTTTTTCTTTTCTCTCCTTTTTTCCCATTGATCTTATCCAGTGAGCACACGCCCTCATTCCATCCCGCTTGCAGATCGTTATCATTGACTCTGGCGTGAACTATCTATCGGATCATTTATACACGCATAAACTAAATAAAAAGCTAAAAAAGAAGTTGTCGCGCACGCGACCAAATTCATCTATAAAAAAGAACAAAATCAACAGATAAGATAGATTAAAAACGTTCGAACAGATGGAAAATAGCAAGTTTAAACTTTACGTTTTTAAAAGATCTCATAGGTGGAAAAGTGATGAATACACTAAAATATTTTATGCTGATTTCCCTTGAGAATATTATACTCATGTTAACACTTTAGTTTTTTCGACTAGTAATAGTGACGATGATCACATTCACACTTTTGTTTTTTTTTTTTTTATTCTTATATATTTGTCTGTCTACATAAAAAACTCGCTGAATTCACCGATGACATTGCATGCAATGCACAAAAGTCTTGTTCCCGTGCGATTGACAAAAGAGAAAGTATGAACATTGATCACGCTCTTCATCAAATTCACATTGTTGTTGCTCACACCTCAATGAACAAAAAAAAAGAATGAGACGATAGTCCCAAGAGATTTTTATAGGTGATTCACAATTGGTGTGTATGAATAGTTAATATATGTGCTAATGTTCGTTTCTAGGTTTTTTTTTCTCCAAGGAATTTCATATGTATTTACTGTTGACAAGAAACAGAAAAATAAATTTAACTACAAGTACTTTCTTAGTTTTCATTGTTCCTTGAAGTGTCACACACTATTGACAATAACAACAAACTAAAATTTTTATTTTATTTCATAACAGTTATTCGATGATATTTTAAAATTTGAAACGTTTCTCTTCTTTCCTTTTTTCTCGTTCTTTTTTTTTTATGTATATTAATTCCATCAATGTTCAACTATTTCCTTGATTTTGATTTGATCGTCCATATCATGATTATCATTGACATATTGTGACAATCATCATTTGAACTTCATCGATGCAATATGCTTTCTCGCTCTTTTCTCCGGTCGTTCAATCTGCTAATTGCATCCTTTTTCTAACCAACAAGTGTGAAGCGCCTGCCTACATTTATTTTACAATATGGAAGTCAACGAGTCCTCTCTTCTTCTCTTTCGTCTTCTTTCTTTTTTTTTTCTTTGTTTCCACTCGTTTATTCTCACACAATTTTTGCTCGTTGTCCATCTGCTAATCAACTAGCTACTACTAGTAAAAAGACGAAATATGAGAGCAGTCAAATGTCACCCGAAGCCTATCCAGGTGCAATATAGACGAAGACAGAAAATATCTTTACCGAAGGGCATTAAGACTGAAAAAGAAAACTATACGAATCACTTGATTGTCTTCATTTGAGTTAATCAACACAAAAGACATCTCTTTAGTAGTTCGAATGGCATTTACCTAGATGTACATGTTAATCAAATAGTGATGAAGAAAAGACACAAAGTGACACGAGTATGTGACAGGTTGCTTGCTCAGCATGAATTTTTTTAGTCTTTTTTTTTCCTCTTTTCTATATAACATATGGATACGATCATTTTCTATATTTTTATCAATCAATATTAATTGCTCTATGACTTAATAAAGTTTGCATCAATTGATAGACACATTTTTTTTCAATATAATTGAACACGAAATAAGACAAAAATAAAATAAACACATACATTTCAAAGTAAGCAAAAATAATAATAGGTGTACAAAAGTGAACTGCAAATTTGAGCAAAAAAATATTACGATAATATGAATTGTTTTTTACATTTGATCACTTTTTATAGAAGAAAAAATTCAAGGCTTTAATAAGGTATATATATATAATTGACTGTTCATTTATATACTTGTGTATGAGTTAAACTGAATGAAAACACCGGTTGATTAATTATGACTCGCAGGAAAATCAAGTAATGAACCACCTTGTTTTTTCCATGATGCAATAGATGCGATTACTATATGTTCACAATCCGCTTGATCAGTAATCTTTGATAAAAAGAAAAAATTTTCAATATAAATATATTAATACATTTAATTATTCTCGCATATAAAAAATAAAAAAAAAAGCAGACTAACATTTCTAGATTTTAGTTGTATACATTAATAAAAAAAACTTTAAAGGATGATTGTTAGTAGATATTAAAAGACTTCTGAATCCTATAAACAACTGAACTCATAGTACAACAAGACTCAGAACTTTCAACTTCTCAATTTTTATCCATATGAATGTAATAATCAGTAAGGAAATCGAATATAAATTCTCGTCACTATGAATGATGTGTTTCAATTGGTTGAAAGTAACTGATTTAAGGGACTGGAAGATGAGGAATAATTCTGTAGAGATATAAAAATAGAAATGTTTAAGAATTTTTTATTTGGATACACCAAGAAGGAGAAAAGGAGAGGCAATCACGCAAGAGGCTGATTGTAAGACATTGGGCAAAAAAGAAAATTTTTCAAGATTGTGTGATCACTTCCTTCGATCTCTCTCCGCTCGAGACACCTGTGATTTTGAGTAAAGAAAAAAGTATTTTCAAAAATTAATAATTTATGCCTAACAATGTCGGAGTCAGAAATAAAGAGAAGTGGGTGTAAGCTCAGTAGTTTAACAATGACAGCAGCTAAAGATCTACGATTTTCAACAATTGGGAGAGGAAAACGTCGGATGTATTACTGTCTGATATTGTATAAGGTAAAATTATTTTAAAAGTTCAGAGAAACTTCAGATCTGTAGTCCAAGGCACGATTCAAATGATTATCTTCTCACATGTCAATGTTAAGAAAAAATCACGTAGATATTCAGTCAAATTCCATGGAATTCTATTAAATATGTTGTTTTCTAAAGGTAGATTTCTTCTATCAAAAATGTATATGATATGACATTCTATTGCATACCGTTCACATGACAATACGAGATGTCATCGTCGCCGTGGACACGGTTGAATGAGACAAAGATGGCGCCATCTATTGACATGTCAACAATGCAGAAGAGATCTTGATATTGCTTACATTATTAGATCGAAGAAATCTTTCTCTATAATTCTACATATATTTCATTGTGTTGTCAAACTCTTATAGTCACCTTTTCTTGAAGCGTAAAAACCGCTTTCATGCGTGTTTTTGAATTTTTTGCAAATATGATGAATATTAAAATAATTTTTTCAAATATAATATCAGACAAAAGAGCGTTCAAAGTTCTTCTCTATCGATTGCTGTAAACCATAAATCGCTAGCTTTTCCAGTTGTTCAGTTATTGAGATTACACTTACCTGTTTTTAATTCTAGCGTGAACATTATAACTATACGTATATTTCTAACAATCATTTACAAAGGGAAATTATACGTTTTCGTACGGTCTTTTCATTTATACTCATTAACGAATATCTCGAACATATTTATTCAATCGTTGTCACACCAGAAAAACATTCTATGAACGGTTACTGCATGAAATTGATGTCTGTTCTAATATTGTAATCATATTTCTTTTTCTTATCAAATTGAATTCATTTTAAATGAATGACTGATAGTTGAAATACATTTATAAAGAATATTACGTTATATTAAAATCACAATAGCATACAGTAAAGTTTATATTATTTTTTTGAAAATATTCAAAAGATAAAAGAAAAAAAAAACACCTAATTACATCTTACTTTGAGATCACCGAGATATTGCATAATTTCTTTTGTTGTATAAAAACTAAGTAGCTTTAGACGACAATGATGAAGAATATGAATTATTAAAAAAACAAAAATATATTCGCTACCAGCAAGAAATTTTTCCCAAATACTAAATAAGAACAACTTGTTTCTATTGATAAAATATAAAAAAAAATAAATATATACTTTAATAAAGATATATCATCGGTTATTAATTGAAAACCATCTTTAAGCCATTTTTCTGGTATACATCCAAATATATTTTGAGTATTCAAATGCAGTAATAATTTTGGTTCATGAAGAAATTCTTGTTGAGCAATTTTACTAACATGATGTCGCTATTTAAAATAATATATTAGACATTTTTATGAATTTATAATTTTTTACTTAAGTACGAGTAGGGCAATGCGTCGGGTTAATTGAACAAATTTATCGTATATTTTACAAGTCATAAGCCAACATTCAGCAGTAACTTCTAATCGTTGTTCATTATCATTATCAAGAAAGGCACAAATAAAATTTGCAATAGATAAAAATGGTTCATATTCTTTCTATTATAAATTAAAAAAAAAAAAAGAATATTTCGTTTTTAACTTTTGTGTTTTTTTTTACTGTTGAAGTAACCGGTAGTTTAGTTGGATGTGAATCCAGTAAATACATAGAGAGAAATTGTTGAGAAATACTTGTATCAGTTTGAATTATTCCACAAGTTGTTAATGTTGAATGAAGATATGTGTACATGTCACAATTAGCTTGATCAACATATCGACGTGTTGCACGATAAGGTGATTTAATACCTTAAAAAGAAAAATAATTAAAACAAAATTTTTTTACCAGTAAAAAAAAAAGAACCTAATAAAATCTTCCAACATAACGGTTTTAATTCGGCAACAATAGAATTTTTTTGAACGTGTTGTTTTAATTTTTCAACATTTATTGTATCAGATTCGAGTAATTCTTTAAATACTGTTTGTACAGTTCGTTGTATTAATATCATATCTAGAATAGACAATTTTATTTAAAAAAAACTGATCTTTATTCAATTAGTCAATATCCTCAAAATTCGTAGTAGGTTTTGAGGATTGTTTATTTTCAATCGGATTTTCAAGTAAATATTTTAAAATATGAAGAATCATATCTGAAGAGAGATTTAATGTAGTGAATAATGATTTAATAATTTTCGATTCTGTTAAATGAGATAATATCATAGGTAATTTTATTGTCAGTCTAAAAGATAAAATAAATTAAGTAAAAACAAATAGAAAAGCCATGAATACATACAAATGAATAAGAAATAAAGTCATAATTGTCCATTCATTGGATCTCAAGGCTATATTGTCACTACCAAAGCTAAATATGTATATAAAAATAAATATTACTTTTTCTTTTTCTATTTTAAAAATATTAGAATCAGCATTGCCAAATTTCCTGATTTTTTTTAAACTTTTGTTATCTAGAATTTTAGAGACATTTTGAGTCAATCGGAACAAATATATTGTATCTATTTGTATTGTTTACAATAAAGACTATCGATTTTGATAAACAAATTCTATCTCAAGAACCTGTGCAAATATAGATGAAAAGAAAGAATTCATTCTGTATTTGTTGAATATTTTTATTGCAAGAAGGTGACCTTAGTTGAGAGCCAAATTCATTAGAGGACAACCTTTACCAACACTCTTGCCTATGTGAAAATAAAAATAGGTAGGATTTTGTTTAATAACTTTTGATAGAAATAAGAAAGAGAGTTGCGGTTTTCACCTTTCAAAATAGAAGATAAAGTATGCATCGAATAGTATAGTACAAGATTTTTCGATGCGGTTTTTGTTAAGATTTTCAACCGAGTTTTTTGGAAACCAGTGTAAACTGTTAGGTAATTGTAATGAACTTTCAAGTATTAGGTATATATCTGACACGCCAATGGAAGATCTACAAAAATTACGCAAGCCTCAAATATTTTTTCTTATGTTGAAAAAAAAAGCATTTTTCTGATACTTTTTTTTTTAAAAACTTAATTAAAAATAATTCAAAAAACATCTTAGAAAAACCTACAATACATAATTCGATGTGAGTTTATCTCCTTTTTTCACTGATAAAAACTACAATGCTCTATATTGTTTCTATCCAATGTTATTCACAAAATACTCACTCCGCTTTTTTTTAAAATGAGCATTAGTAAAAGTTGCCGATTTTACCTTGCAGGAAAGTGAATTGAAACTGACAATAACTTCATTATATAACACTATTACTAAATATTACTTTTCAAAGTTTTTGAAAGGAAGTGTTCTCGAATTTGACATATTCTTCATAATTGGAAAAATGTAAAAAAAAATAATCAAACAAAAACAATGCATTCTATTAATAATGTACTATTCTCTATGCATGAATCACAATCTTGTTAATGCAGAATTAATAATTAAAATGAATACTCATGACAATTATACCCAATCCTATCATTATCTTTTCAATAATGTCAACCTGATGAAGGACAGTCGCTCATCAGAAAAACATAGTCGTATTGAGAAAAGTGTCATGAATGCCATAACTAATAATTTATCATTTAATCAGACCCATGTTATTATGGTTAAAATGAGCTTTTTCGTTAAGTTCATTTTATATTTTGTCGCTATATTTTACTGAATGACCGCTAAATTACTAATAATAAAGCACACACTCGATTATTTCCTTTATTGTTAAATATAATCTAAACTTAGTGTTGAAGTATAGCGGTAAAAAGTTGAACTCACTCTCTTCTCTTACATAAATCTTAGCAGCAGGTCATTACACATGTAATAGGCACATGGAGATCGTGTTATCAACGACGTGACACAAGTTATTGATATACGATCAAATATCGTATATCAATAACGTCTCGTTATAATTCCTTATCGTACTTCTGGAGAATAAAGTAAAAGAATGGTGAAGAAATGTGTCCCAAAATAGATAAAATAAAATAATCTTCCTATCATTAGCAACAGAAACTACATTGTATTTCACGTTTTAAACCCACAGGAATTGTACTAACAGTTTTTTCTTTTATATCGCTTACAAAGGAAGGTTCTTAAGTGATAAATCACTTTTAAGTTAGACTTATATTCAAGCGATAATATCTAGTGAATAAGTAAGTCTCTTAGAGCGATTTGAGCTGTTTGGCCTTTATTGCTAAGTTATCAAATATTCGATGGACTTTTCTTGTAGGACCTTATTTTACAAGCGAAATTATATTTTGTATTTATATCTAACACTTAGTTCCCATAAAGGCATCGATTAGTGTAGTTTGTAGAAGAATTTTTTCACTAAGTCTCTCCAAGTTATGATTTTTTTTTCAAATATAAGCGCCATCGTATGATTATTGTAGAGGATATGATTAATTTGAAAAATTAATATCTTAGGGATACTGGCAATAAGTTCAAAAATTTTCTCCACAATCTAATCTAATCGGTACCTTCATGTTGGCAAAATGTTAGATCAAAATTAAGAAGTATGATTTCGCTTGAAAACTAGGGACCTATGTGAAAAATTCACTAAACATTTGAAATCTCTGCAATAGAAGCATGGCAGCTCGAATCACTCAAGGGTTATTTACTTAATTATTAGTCTCTATCGATTGAATATAGTCCCAATTCGATAGCAACGTATCATTTGGTGACCTTTTCTCGTTAGTAGAAAATTTTTGTCACTTTCTACCATACAAAAGAATATAACAAGTGCTGAAGTGAATGAAAATTTCAGTTGCATTCGAGAAGAGACCACTAAATAATTTCATGAATTGAATCAAAAATCTTCTGAGTTTTTGAAATTTAAATTTGGCAACCCTAATTAGAATCTAATTACCTTAATGTCAATAATAATTCTGATAGTGCTGATCGTAAATCTCCTGCTATGGTTTGTTTGACATCGTCGTAAAACATTTGTTTGAAACTATAAAAATTACGTTGGTTTAATTAAGTAAAAAAGATAAAGAAGAAAAAGAAATGACAGACCATGTCATGACTTTCTGACTAACAATTGACAAACGAATACTTTGTTGTGAGTAGGTGTCAACTGGTGGTAATATTATAGCAGATGATGATGTTGTTTCCTGTTAAATAGATTAAAGCTATAAATAGCACTTGACAAAGTTCATACCTCTTTTGACACATCACCTTTTCCAAAGAAAAATTCTTTTACTTTAATTTCATATTGATTTTCTTCTTTTGTTTTTCGTAATTCATCCATTGTTGGAAGTTTTTTTTCAGCTCGCGATCCATCAGATGATATTATATCTTCAACATCAAGTTTATTTACTAATTGTTGATATCGTTCAGTATTAATCGATGTATCAGATATCATTGTATTATTTTGTAAATAGTCTTTTGTTCTATTTGTTATCCATTCATATAAACAAGTTATAACAAAATTAATTGTTGTATTGTCTGTTCGGATATAATCAGGTAAAGAAATTTGTTTAAGTTTTGTTTCAACTAAGGTTGGTTTTTGTGAGAGTACAGCTCGAGATTTATAATATTTATCACGAGCTATTTGTAATTTTTCAAATTCATCATCATCACTATCAGATGATGATGAAGATGATTCACGAAGATGAGGTATTTTAGGCATTGATCGGTTATAATTAGATTGAGAAATAACCGTACTACTATCATGTTGTTCTTTACTAAATAGTTTACTATGATAAAAAAGAGTAGTGATTTTAATGTTTTATTTTACTTTAAAGTTTCATGTGTTAATAATTCAATTTTAATTGGAGTATTCCCTTGTTGTTGTTGTTCTCGAGCCCAAACAGGTGATGTAGGAATTTGTCGTTCAAAATATTTTGAAGATTTGTAACAAAATGTTGAACAAAATAACTGAAAATAGAATTTTTAATTGAAAAACTTATTGGAAATTGTTTTATTTTTTAGCGTTTTTTTTTACCCGTCGTTCTGTTGTATCAATTACTTTATTCACTTTTACATTAATATAATATTGATGAGTTGGTATCTAAAAATTGATGATAGGTTTTTGATCAATATTTTAGAATATGTAATTAATATACATCTTTTGGTAGTGATGTGGAACAAATTGGATAGCCACACATTTGTCTCAATGCACGATCCTCATTAACACCTCGATATCGTTCTTGATCGATCAGAATAGCCTACACAAGTATGTTGATTAATAGAAAACACTAATAAAATTATGTTTACCGCATTAATCAATGTTTCATGATCGATTTTGTCTTCTTCAATTAATTGCATACATATATTATATGCTTTCTTTTCACAAGCTTTTCGTTGTTCAATTTTAGCTCGGAATGCATCAATTTTTGTTTGTTCTGCTGTCGCCATCTGAAATATAATCATGAATAGAACATGTACAAATAACAAAGAGAGAAAATTATCTTTCAAAATAGATCAAACAACAACAACAAAAAGAAACAAAATAATCTGACTACTAGAGTTGAATCGAAGGTAGAATACATTGAAGTGTAAAATATTCTGCAACAATACAAATATGTAACATGCTATTATTACAAAAATCTAAATAAAATCAATGGAAAATGATACAGAAATGCAAACTTTTCACATACTAAAAACCATTTTTTCAGCATATGGTTGTTGTGAGTGAAGTAATTGACCAAATTTCTTAATATCTAAACGTACTTCAGCCATATCAATAGAATTTGTTGATGATGAATTTGATTGTTGTGTTATTGACATATCCCATTGAGATCGATCACCACCCGTAGGATCTAAATTGATAAGTAATTCGAGTTTTTGTGAAGGAAATAATTTTCCAACCTGCTCTAGATGTTTCTTGAAGGCCAGTAAAATATGTCGCCACTTGTGCAGTATCTGTTTCAATTTTTACTGTCATATCACCAGACTTATTCGCTTGCAATGTCTACAGAGAATACTACAAATTCTTCTTTTTCTAAATTGAACTTACAACAAAATTACACATAGCTTTCATTCGATCGATAATATTTTTTAATGTTTTTAATTTAGGCATTGTTATACTAATCTAAAACAGAAAAACGATTTTAATTGTTTCTCAAGATTGGATTTATTTTAATTTTTTTTTTGAAAAATATACATGTATTTCTATAGATTAGAGTTAAGACAGATCACATGATTATATAAATATCACAAGTACGATCTGTCCCTAAGGTTTATATTTATATATAATATGCCTGAGCAATTATTCCCTATAACATGCCAAGAAGGTTGACCTTTATGTGAGTATCAACACTCATCATAACAACAATAACAACATCAGCAACAATCCTCGTAGCAAGTATTGAGAATACAACGGCCCATCAATTCTAAGCTAATCAAGTGATGAAACAAAGTTATCCTTATCCTTCAATTATCGTCATTTTAACTAGAATCGATTGATTTATCATTGAGTTTTTCTATTTCATTCTAGTCGATAATACAACAAAAATTTGATCGAATATTATTCATTATGTATTCTATCAATGCATCAATATTATTTTCAATCGTTTTAATCGAGAAATATTCTAAAGAAAAGAATGAAAATTCGTTTTTTTGTCTTGTTGATTTTTTTATTCTTTTTTTCATCATCGTTATACATTGTCCTCGAAATATATTGACGACAAGCGTTGACTGCGCTTGACACTAGATTTCCTATCTTTCTTTATATGTATACAAGCTTGTGTCTCTATCCATAGGGAAGTTCCTTGCACTATTATTTCTCATTCTTCCGATGACGGTAATAATCCACCGTCATCATTTCTCTTCTTTTTTTCTCCTATTCCTTTGCGGCAACCATATACGCAATGCGTTTCCTCAGCGCTCTCTCTCTCTCTCGCTCTTTTTTCCTCGTTTCTTTCTCTTTTTGACTAGTGCGTGTCGTTCGTATTCAAAGATGGCAAACTCCAGACTAGTTACATAGGCAAAGTATAGTAGGCGAACTAGAACGTTTTTTGTCGGTTGAAAGAAAAAGAGACATTGATAAATATACAACTATAACAAGAACTTATTCGCTTGTTCGTCGAGTCTCGTCGTGTCACCAGTAAATTGTCTCGGATCCCGATGGCATTATTTTTTTTTGCTTGTAAAGAACTACGTAAGAAAAATATTTTTTTTTGGAAATATTTGACAGATCAATAAATTCATTGTGTAAAATATGAGGGATATTAATAATCTAATGTGTAATAAGAAACGTGCCTTGAATTATTTCGATACGCCGTCAAGGTCATTGAGACGTCAGTGAGAAAATAATGATTGATATAATAAAAAAAAAAAAAAAAAAAAAGAGAGAATCAATAGTGACGTCAACATTAATCGGCATTGCTATATACTTCGCATGCTGAATAGTTAGAAACGGCAAAAACAAATAGTGTTTCTCTAGTTCTACTCTATGTTGTTCTTTTCTTGCTCTCTATCTTATCATATCAACAGAGAAAATATCCGGAAATAACTTTAATCATTTGAGTATGTCAACTCGAATGACAAAACAAGAAACAATATGATTATAATGTTACTGGAGTTTTCTTAGTGTATTTTTCGTTTTTTGTCTTTCTAGTATATTCAACTCTTATCGTAAATCGATACTTATGAGCTGTTATTCAAGAATATTGACACTATGAGGAAGAATGCAATGGTGCATCGCAGTGCCTTTTGCTTCTTCCCTTTCTTTGTCTACTTTAGTTCCTAATAATAATTTGTTCTCATCACTTATAATAACGATGACTTTTATTCTCAATATTATTAATTCACCATCATCCGTCCATGCATTATCTACATCAGCATGTTCACCATATTTATTTTCAATCAATACCGATATACGTACAAATAATCAATACATTCGACCATGTCCAGTATCAACACCTTGTCAATGTATATGCGATATTGAAAGTAAACGTTTATGGATTGATTGTTTTTATCGAAAATTAACATCAATGCCAATATTTCAAAGGATTCCAACAAATAATACAGTTATTGAATGGAATATTGATTTAGCATTTAACTTATTTGATACGGTATCATTTAATAATAAAACAAAATGGATACCTGATAATATGCATATACGTCATATGGTGCTTTCTAGTTCACTTGCATATGATCTTATTGTACAATTAAATTTATCTCATCGACATTTAATTGATATATGGCCTAGTCAACAACATTTACCTATTATTGATGATCAATTTCAGCTATTTGATGATTATGAATACGATAAGTCTGAGGAGGAGGTAAAAAAAGTTTAACAAGAAAACAAACAGAGAAAATTTTCTTTTTGAAATAGGACAAGAAAGATATCAATGAACTCTATAAATTGAAACGTTCAATAATGTCATCAAATGCTGAATATAAACATCTTCTAACTGAATTAACATTAAAATTACGAGAAAAAACTAAACGAATTAATCTATTTAAATTATCATTATCCGGTGAACCTGCACCAATATCAAATCTTTATCTTGATCATAATTCTTTTGATTCTATACCCACTCAAGCTTTATATAACGCAACAGGTTTATATGAAATATATTTATCATTTAATAATATAGCTGAATTACCAGCATTTGCATTTGGATTTTCTCATCGTCTTACACGTATCGATTTATCACATAATAAATTAATATCAATAAGTAATTTAACATTTCAAAGACATCCAAATGCATTTGCTGGTCCATTTCTTATTGATTATCTTGACTTATCACATAATCAATTAACAACATTAGAAGCAAATACTTTTGCTTATCTTGTTAATTTACGTTTACTAAAATTAGAACATAACCAAATACGTTCAATATCTGCACACGTATGGACTGGTTTATATCGTTTAAAATATCTTGATTTATCACATAATTATATAGAAAATTTTACTCAAGCTTTTTATAGTGGTTATCTTAATGAACTAAATCAATTGAAAATTACATCAAATAATCTAAGTCAAATAGGTCCATGTGAATTTTTATCACTTAAAAGATTATCTAAACTTAATCTAAGTGGAAATAATATTACAACAATTGATACTTGTTCATTTTATGGTCTTCATCATACAACAACTTATTCATCATTAAATGTACATTTACGTTCAAATCAACTTGAAACAATTCATCCATGTACATTTAATAATTTTGCACGTTCAACAATTCATTTAGAAAATAATCCATTAATATGTAATTGTTCATTTAATTATTTATTACATAATCGTCAATCACTTGCTTATACTGGGCAAGAATGTCTTGGTGGATTTTTATATCAATCACAACAACAATTAACATTACCTGCCGTCCGTAAAACAAATTCAACATTAACTAAAAAGCCGATTAATGCTTCAATGCCATGTCAAGATTCATATACATATTATAATGATCTCTGTTCAAAACTTGATTGTTCAAGTGAATGTGCACCTAATGAACGTTATATTATTCAAATAACAACAATACCAACACCAAGTGGAACAATATTTATCTATCAACCAACAGTCGCTTCTATGTTTATTGTTGTTTTTGTTCATTATAGTCATTTTTTCTCTCTTGTATAAATTGTGATATTCAAAAAAAAAAAAAAAGAAAAGAAAAGCATTTTACTTACATCACATCGAGGAATATTTGGAGCTTGAAAGTCAATCCTAAAATAGAGCGGAATAAATCTTTCTGTGTGAAAGGAAAAAATATTTACCAATGTTTATGGGCTAATAAATGAATAGGTATATCACATGTAAATTGTCGTTCAGTCATTGATGATGAAATCTAAAGATGTTTTAATGGAAAAAAGAATCTTATTTTTTACCCATTGTGCTAATAATAAAAAAACATACAACTTCTGTATCAATACTTAAACATGGACTATTATGTTTTTTAATTAAACGAAGTCTCAGTAATCGAGCTGCTTGTGCGGGTTTAAGTGCACGTACTAATTCTTCAAACATAATTTCGATATAAATTTCATTTGCTAATGGGGATAAGCCGTCCATAATATAATCATCAAAAAATCGAATTGGATCAAGTTCAATCCATAACGAAACACCACCACCAAATGATTTATCACCCAAAATCAAAAATAACTTATCAGGTGTTAATCGAAGTACACCGGATTTAGCCATTTTTGATATACCAGTTATAATTTCTATTACAAACGAAAACAAAAAGATAATCATGTGCTTCATTTTTCTTTTGAAAAGCTTAATATTCTTTCTTTTCGCATGAGACTAAAAACAATGTAGAACACAGCTTGAAACTATTTTTTTTGTTGAATATCAGTGAGATTCTCTCTAATTAATATTAAAACATACTTGTAAATTTATTGATTGTAGTACTATTGTGTAATTTGGCACGAAATTTCATTGTTTTAAGTTTTTATAAAGTTACAACAAAAAAATTTATATATATCTAGAATATAGAAATTAAACTGAATTATGTGTATTTATGGTAAATAATCGTGACCACCACGATGTATTAACAATATTGCGTTGAAAAACACTATTTAAATAACTTTTAACAAGTTGAAAATCTTTTTGTAAATAAGGTTTAGCTGCATTAACAAAATCAAAATCTGGATCAAGTTGTCGACCAATACCTTCAATAATAATTGTTCCAAGAGCAAGTGTTGTAAAACTTGATTCCATTTTAATGTGATATTTTTTTCCTAAATCTAATACATTATGTAAAACTAATCCAACTTCAAGTTGTTTTAATGGAGTTTTAAGAACACTATCGATTAATTTAGACATATCTTTTCGAAAACCAATTTTTGATTGTTCGTCAATTTCATTAACATTTGGAGCACGTTCTATCAATAATGTTGCCGCTTCTGTAGCATCATAATTTACTATTGCACGAAATAAATCATAAAAATTCTTTTTATCTCTTCGATTAAGTGAAGATGTTAAACCAACATCAATAAGAATTATAGTTGGTTCACGAGGTGAATTTTCATCAAGACGAACAAGAATATTGCCTGGATGAAGATCTGCATGAACCTAGAAATTAACAAATCAAATACAATAGTGTTGCTAACGTAATTAGACCAGAA